GTGTGTGTGTGTGTGTGTGTGTGTGATTCAGTGGGGATGGGAGGGGCGACCCATCCCCCACCAATCAATCAATCAATCAATCAATCAATCCATCAAAAAAAAAAAGGAAAAAAAATCTATCTGTTTTGAGTCTGGTTTTGTTTTTTATTTAAAAAAAAAAAAATTAATGCTAAAAAAATAAAAATAAAAATATACGGATGTAGAGAGCAGCAAAATCTACACCCCCATATTTTTTATTTTTATTTTTCACTTATGTTTTGCCTGGAAAAAAAAAATCCGCGGGTCGAGTTGTACCACGTTTAACTCGGTTCAACGCGGAGTTGAAACGAGAGTTGAACGGGAGTTGAACCGTTCAACTCAAGACCCCCGTTGAATCCGATTTCGGACACATAGCAAGTAGCCAAGAATCCACGGACCACGCACACGGACCTAGCTTTCAAACCCGGACAATTACCACACGCACATTCGGCCAACTGCAGACTCAAATCCGCACTCGATTACCCCAAAAGCCGAAGACTCTGATGTTGACACACACACCCGGACCACACCTAACCTTACCTTCGGTCTTCGACTCAGACCTAAACGTGTGGACCCAAACCCAACCTTACCTTCAGTCCTAGACAATAACGAACCGAATCGAAGCTTAGTTTCCTGCATACACAACGACGAACCTAGCTTTCGACCCCGGACAATGACCTGTTCATAGACGGACCCCAACCGAACCTTGCCTCCTGTCCTGGACAATAGCGAACCTCGCCTTCAGACCCGGACAATGATTTCTTGGCACGTACATTCTGCCAACCGTCGACCGCAACCCGTACACGAGTACCTAGAAACCTGAAGATTTATTTGTTGACACACAAAAACGAACCGAACCTTACCCTCAATCCTACACATACGCGTACGTTTGCCCAACTCCTAACCCTCCGACCAGCACGAGTCCCAACTAAGGAACCGAAGGCCTAATCAAGAAGAAATACAGACGGACGTGATGACAAAGACACGAAACGAAATACACACACAAACCTGACCTTCTGACCGAGATACTAACCTTTTCTCACGGACATTCAGCGAGCGGCAGACCCGAAGCCCTACACAAGTACCCAAAAATTCAGTGACGCAAACATTGAGAGGAACACCCTGACCAAGACAAATATATGACTTAGTGTTGGAGCGGATAGTGAGCCAATTGCAGACCCATAAGCTTGAACGTCCAAGACATGGACCTTGTTCTCTCAACAAGTACACACACATTCTTCGTTTGGGATTGGACGGCTGAAATGTTCAGACCAAGAGACGGACCTGGCACTCAGACTCGGAGAGTGACCTGCTGGCTGTGTATCTTTTTAATGGAGAACGCGAAAAATTGAACGCGCGTTCATCCGTTTAACGGGCCCCTGACCCCCTGACCCCGCCTAACCCCCCCAAATAACCCCCAACCCGCCCCCCCCATTTACCAGTTTGAATCCAACCCCTCCCCCCCCCCAAATATCAGTTAGTACTGCATACAATGATAATTTGATTCAACAATCAACACAGAAAAAAAAAAAAAAAAAAGAACAACCACACAAGTAGAATTGTACAAGAAACAAACGGCGTCAAACGCAGGAAATAAGATTGCAAATGATAACAACAATGAAATATATAAAATCACACCAGATGAAAATGGTCACGAAAGCTCGCGCAAGCCGACCGCGACGAGCATCAATCGAAACTGAAACTGTACATGGAAAATGTACTGTGCATGAAAAGTCCTCAACGACGCAAAGAACCTGTCACTGAAAACAGAAATGAAAAATGCAACATATGCAACGTATCCGACAGGCTACTGCTAAGGCAGTGGTTCCACTGTACTACCACATGTCGAAAAAAAACAAACGAAAATGTAGTGTACAAGTCGTGTTGTAGCTACTCTGCGAACACCCTACTGGTACAACGCTACTCTACGAACACCATACTGGTACCAAAATGATACACACCGAAAACAAAGGAAACATCATCTAATACATTTGTATCACGCTGCACGCACACAACCACTGAGAGCCTAACAACACTAAGACAAGACGAGACGACCAAAAAAACTAGGACCGCACAACATGACGAACCGCAGTGCGAGCAGGGGAAAAAGGAGTGTTGGCCTCATCAGTCAACGACGCTTCTTCCCCTTCCCGCTCTGTCTCCTCGTACCCCCTCGCGTGCCGGATGTGGAACTCCTCCTCCTTCGTGATGATGAAGAAGTCTGCGCAGCGCGCCGTCTGGCTGCACCTTTCGTTGGGGCAGGTGGGGGCTCGTGCTCGTCGTGGTCGTAGTCACCATCAGAACCTCTCTCGCTCTCCTCCTCTCCCTCCTCCTTGCCCTCATAGTCCTCGTCCTCCTCCCGCACTGCCACATCTGTCTCAGGATCATCCTCCTCGATGGTGACAGGGGCTCCTGCCTTCCTCAACACAACAACCCTTGCACTAGCCTCTGTAACCGTCTGCTCACGGCGCGATCCACGAGGCATCCCCAACCCCTCTGCCCCCAAAGTCTCTCCAAGTGCATCTCCTCCCTCTGCGGGCACGGGGCGTGGACGAGGAGGGACTCCGCGCTTGCGTGGAGTCTGCTCATATACGGCACACGTCGCTGCCATCAGAGCGTACTCCAAGCTATCGACGGACACTCCTCTGCCGCGACCTCGCTGAGGCTCACAACCTGATGCTGCCACCTCCCTCGCTGCGGTCATCCTGCTGCTGCGGGGTCCCAAACCCGGCTGTAGACGTGCAGTGTGCTCCGTCACACGGCGGGTGGAATCCAAATCTATGTCTGTCCTCCCGAACAATGCTGTGTCACTCACGTCCCCCACAACGGCTGTAGTGTCTCGAATCCTAGACCTCCCAGGCGTGTGTGGAGATCGAGAGCCTCTGTCTGTGGGCGACGATGACGGATCAGCTACAGGTGGTCTAGGAGGAGGGGGTGGCATGTCTCGTGTATGTGGCGCCGTCTCCACGACGCCACCTGAAACCCCTGGAACATCTCCCGCCGTACGTGCTCCGGTGGAGGTAGACCCAGACCTCACCGGCGGCGCAGGACCCCATGGAACAGGAGGGATCACCTTCCATGGTGGATGCTGTAGCCTCTGGTCAAAGACCCGCCGGTCCAGGCGAGTCACATCGCGGACAACCTCTCTCGCCAACTCGTCTGCATCCAAAGGACGGCGGTCCTCCTGCGGAGCAAAGTGACTAGGAAGACGCGGTGGCGCAACCACCGGCTCAAACCCCAAATCCGTGATAATGGGCAGCGGCACACCATGCACTGCCACCGGCACCGGCTGCGACTGTCGGCCCTGAGCCAAGTGCAGGCCTGAGAACGGAATGACTAGACCCGTCGTTGTCTCCCAGACCACACATCGTGCGTCACCCACACCCTCGTCTCGCCGCCGTCCTGCCTACACAGCCTCATCCACCGCCTGTTGCAAGCCCTCCACATGAACATCCGCTGCCGATCGCCCACCCTGCACATCCTCAGCGTCCGCCCGTGCTACCACTCTCTCCACAACGTCCTCCCCC